CTGTTGTAGTGTTAGTGGGGAGTTAGAATGGATAAAGATTAAAGCCATGTGGTAAATGTTTAGTACATCCATTTTAGTAGCATATAGGCTATTGCTTTATGTAGTAAGAACAGGGAAACACTGAGCAAAACCTTAGAACTATGATGCTTATAGATCTTACTCAAAAAAAACCTACTGAAAAACATGATTCATTTCTTATGTGTCAATCACATAGTTTAATTTCCCTGTAGGATGTTTATACCTTCCGTGCATCTTTGGTGCTCTATCTGAGGGTCATCGCCATGGCATCCTCCTTAGTCTGTTAGATGGCCTCTTTCTGCATGGTGAGTGCTGTCTCCAACAAGAAAATCTTCCATAGTTTATTTCCTGCATCCTTTCATGGCCCTATAATTGTTTCTAGTAGCTGCCTTCTAAGATAGCCAGGACTTACATTAAGTCAATACAAACAGTCACATTTCCTAATTTACTCTAGAGTATATCACAAGACCTTTAACTTTTTCTTTTGTATGTATGTGTCCTTGTGTGATGCTATATGAGTATGTGCTTGTGTGTATCCACATATGTGCAGGTACACATAACAGAGGTCAACATTGTGTTTCTTTCTCAATCATTTTCTATCTTGCACTTTGAGTTGGTCTGTCACTGGACCTAGAACTCACAGATAGACTGGATAGCCAGTGGCTTCAGAGGCCCACCTGTCTCTCCTTCCTCAGTACTGGCATTACAGACACAGAATGCCCATAGAGTTTCACACTGGTTCATGGGATCCATACATAAATCCTTATACTTCTGTGGAAAGCACTTTACTCACTGAGATGTCTCTTCAGTCTCCACCATGGGATTTTTCTTATAGATATTTTTTTAAATCATACTATGCTTTGACTAATACTATAAAAAAACCAACCTACCCCAATACCTAATCGATAGATAAGGTAGATAAGGAGAGAGGAAACCAGACATATGGTTCAACCAGCAAAGAACTTGCCATGAAAGGAAGACAAAGACCTGAGTTTTATTTCTAGAGCTCTTGTAAGCAAAAACCAAGAGACAGGGAAGTGAGCTCAAGATGTGAAGTACTTGCTGTTTATTAGGACTCCCAGCACTCATATATACACCAGGTGCAGTCACTTTTCTGACCCCAGAGCTGGGAGGGTAGCATAGACACTTATTACAGGGTTTGTTGCAGCTAATGTAGCCAAAACTTCAAACTCCAGGTTCAGAGAGAGATCCCATATTAGTAAAGTGTAAAGTCTTAGAGGAAGATACCCAGCATAAACTGGCATCCAAAGTGTACACATGGGCAACTGTGCCGTCACACACATGTGCATACACCACTTTCACGAATGTTTGAGCATAAACTTGCCCACTTCACCAAAATACATGGTACTGTGGGATGTGCTTATAATTCCACACTTGAGATCAGGAGGTAGAGAGAGTGGCTCCCTGGGGCTGACTGAGCTAGCTAATTTAATGAGTTTTAGGTCTATAAAATAGTAAATTAGATTGTCTCTGAGGAATCATACACAAACTTGACATGTCACCTCCATATGATTGCTTACATGTGTGCACTGCACCTGTATGAACACACACCTACACACACACACACACACACACCTACACACACACACACACACACAAACGAGGGAAGGAGTGTGTGTGTGTGTGTGTGTGTGTGCGTGTGTGTGTGTGTGTGTGTGTGTGTGTGTGTGTGTGTGTGTGTGAGAGAGAGAGAGAGAGAGAGAGAGAGAGAGAGAGAGAGAGAGAGAGAGAGAGAACTTCTGTGTGTTTTTAATCAACTTTCCTGATATTTTATCATCAGCCAATAACTACCCATGCTCTGTGCTTTGTTTGAATGGGAATGACTGTGGCTTCCTCCTGTAGTTGCAGTTCTTTGGATTTTTTCTTGTAAAATTTAATTATGTTTTCAAGGGTTTAACTTCTAATGATGCTCATGTGCAGGGATATACCCCTCCCTTCTCTTGGTATCACAAGTCAGGGAAAGGTTTAGAAGCCAGCTTAGCCTTTAATGCAGTCACAATGTTGCCAACTTAAACACACCATCTAAGGTGTATTAGAACTTCTTAAAATGCTGTCTAGGTGCAGGTATGATTTTTCTTTACAGTATATATAGTGGGAAAAAAACAGCACTTTTACTTGTATTTTGCTTATGAAAAAAACCTTAGTGAATATTTTCCCCAGCACCTCAAAGTGAAAAATAGGATGCACCAGAAGGTAAATTTGGAACATAAGGCAGAAGGGCAAGTTCCTGAATGGCAGTGGTTATCACATGGGTCCACAGCTCAACTCACATCCTCTAAGTCCCAACACTGCAAAAATATCCAAAGCATATTTTCAAAAACAAGGTCATCTAGTGGCAAAATCTGATCTGACATGAGACTTACTTATTATCGTCTTTACTTGCTTGTCCAAATGTGCTACAGGAATATCAATGCATCGGTTACAAGGTGCCCTTTCAGAGGGTTGTGCTAGTGACTTGACCTTTCTAACAGTTGGAACTTCTGTACTCAAAATATGCCTCATTTAAAAAGCTTTTGGCTAAGGGATATGAGGCGAAATGAAAGGAAATGGTAAAAGATGAAGGCATAAAATTAAAATAAGGCAGTCTCTAAAGGACAGAACTGGCTTTTGTTTCCCCTGCAGAATTTCCTGTGCCTAGAAAAATGGCTGACACAGTGTCCTTCAGCAGGGACATATGGACCAAGATAGTATCAGTTCCAATGGTGAAAGATGGATATGCAATCATAACGAGCTAAAGGAAGAGGAGGTGGGTGTTCCGAAGCAGCTGAAATCCTTGCTTACATCTCCCAGTCACAGGGAGGAAGCAGACCTGACCCATCTGTGGAGAAACCTATGTGCCTTTCTTCAGAATGCATCTCCCTGATGATGTTGGTATGCATACAGGGCATTACAGTTTTCTGGAGGGAGCTGCCTTCAAGGATTCATTCTCACTCCACTGGGAAGCTGTGTTCAAGGGCAAAGCCATTCTCCTTAGCTCAGCTGACTCTGCTGGAGGTGCCTTTTCCAGGGACCCCACTAGAGTGCTCTTCTTTGTTCTAAATCACTGCATTTCCATGCCTGGATACTCACTATTTCTGACAACTGTCTCCTGGCTTATAAAAGACATGACTTTTACTTTGATGATCCATCCATCACGTACTACCTTGGAGACTCACCTGCTCTTAGCACATATTGTTCTTCAGGAACAAAAGCTATGGTGATGAGGGCTACTTCTGACTTCCTCGGTGCTTCTGCCTGAACAGCACAGTGAGTGAATAGCCTGTTGACAATCTTGTCCCCTAGATCTCATACTTGTCTAGGACCTTCGTGCTTATGTTCTGGATCTTGTCTTCTCCCTTACTAGGAATCCGTTGCCTTTGTCCTTCTTATAGCACTTTTTTTTTTTTTTAACCTCACCCTCTCATAGTACCCCTGGTCTTACATCTTCATCTTGCCACTGGCTACTGTGATGGTTGGGTTTTGTCAACTTGACACGAACCTAGACATATCTGGGAACAGGGAATCTTAATCAAGAAAATGCCTCCATTAAATTGACCTGTAGGCAAGTCTCTGTGGGTATTTTCTTGAGTAAGGATTGATGTATCAGGGCTCAGCTCACATGTGGGCAGTGCCACCCCGGGATGGTGGTTGTGTGCTTTAAGAATAGACAAGAGGAAGCCACAGGGAGTACGTGGTATGAAGCATTCCTTCATGGTCTTTGTTTCAGTTCCTGTCTTGAGTCCCTTCCTGGTTTTCCTCAATGGACTGTGAACTGGAATATGTAAACCCTCTCTCCCAAGTTGCTTTTGGTCATGATGTTTAACAAAGCAATAGAAACCTTGTCTAACATAGTTATCAACTACTCTTTCTCTTTCCTCTGAAAACAAACTCATCTTAGACCTTTTGCACTTTCTGTACCAACAACCCTATGGCCACACCATCTGCTCACCAGGTGTCACCTGTTCCAGTAAGCCTTTCTGAAATTTTCCATCCTATCATGGGTTCCTCTAGGGATCTAGGGTGCCTTTTGCCTGCATAGATGTGTGTTTATTTGCTGGCCCCTCCCCTCAACTTGGAGGACTAAAGTTTAGTTCTGTCTATAATTAATACTTCCTCACTTGTTATAAGTATGCATCAAATGGATATATGGATAAAAATTTCTATCATAAAGGATAAATTCTAAACTTGATAGCTAAGTTACAAATTTAGAACAAAAGTATTTAAATTCTATCTTATTGGTACCACCACTAAAAGTACAAACCTTATTACTACCAAAGCTTAACATAAAAGAGCACATTTTATCACGTTTTATTCCATGATTATTTTTCCCATAAACATAGGTCCTTAGTATTTCAACTTTGGTGAGAAGACATACTGTCTTGTCTCAGTCACTATACTTTTACATTTATCATTCTACATGGGTCTGTTTAGTCAGAGACTGATTCCTAAGTCCTGTTTATAGAGTCATTTGTCACCATTCTCCTTACCCTTCATGAATTTTAACACAAATTCAGAAGTCTGATCATCTACTAAAGAAACCTCAAATTTGAGGTCTATGACTTACATTATACAGACAATCCCAAGTTTGCTTTTAGGTTAAATAAAACATAAAAAGATGAACTATAAAATAAGCCTGAAATATGTTACATCTCACAAAAATGGACATTTTAGCTAAAATTTCTGCTACATTGTAAATCATAGACATGAAGGACCGCTGCTCCCATTTTCTCTTACTGAGGTTTTGTAGCATCCAAAGATATTATTTTCAAAATTTTAGGATTGTTGTGTGTTCTGATGTGTCGAAAATGTATTCAAATAACTATACCCTGCAGAAGAGACTATTCAAAATACTAAATAATAATCTTTAATAATCTCAAGTTATCAAAGATATGTATGATAAAGCTTTTGAACCATGACTAAAATGAAATACCTTTGATGTTAATCACCATTGCTAAAATAAGAACAATGTTTCAAGTTCTCACCCTTGGAAATGTGGTGAATCTGTCCAGTTCTTCAACGAAGCAGAACATTTGCAAGCTAATGGCTGACATAACAATCAAGAGGCTGGCAGTGAACACCACCAAGCTTCCAAGCTTTTTCCCAGGACCAAATATCTTGTACACAAAGTCTTCCAGTGCAGGTGAAATCTTAATAAGCCGGACTACCCGAAGAACCTAGTCATGGAGAAAAAGACATACATGTTAGAAAAAGAATTTTAAAGAAATGCATACTATCCTGGGTGCATGAACTGGCTTTTTTTGAGCCTATTCCCTATGGTGGGAGACTTTGCTCAGCCTTGATACAGGGGAAAAGGGTATTGTTCTTGCTTCTACTTTGTATGCCAGACTTTGTTGACTTCCCAAGGAAGGCCTTACTCCCTCTGAGGAGTGGATGGGGAGTGGGAAGGGAGGAGGTGGGGGGAGGGAGGAGAAACTGGGGTTGACATGCAAACTGAAAAAAATTTAAATTAAGAAAGAAACCCATACTAAAATATCAGTTTTTATAGTACCATGTAAAAAGTCATAATTTTCCACTTTATCTAGAGACTAAAATTAGTAATAAGGTAACCAAGACATCCCTAGCATGTGGTCTACCATATAGTGAAATCACAGCAAGTCTCAAATCAATGAGTAAGGACAAACATTGGCAAGTGTTTCAATATACAATATGGTCATTCAAAATGGTTAACTAGTACATACTGTTGACATGAAACAAATATTTTCCCAATGCTAAATATCTAAGTAAACATTTAATTCAGCATTAGTTATGTTTAATGTCTCGTGCACTAAGTGTTCCTAGGTATTGCACACTCATAAATGGGGAAAATCAAACATCTATCAAGGACTGGCTCAGACTCCTACTTCAACGTTTATTTTCTCCTTCTTCTTTTAAATAGGTTTTCTTGGATTTTAGTCAAGTGATTCCCTGGGGCAACAGACTCTACTTTCTAGCCTTTGCATCTGCACTCTGTAGCTGAGTGTGCCTACTGGTCTAGGTTCAGGCTTACCATGAAAACAAGAGACTTGTGCAACTATGGGCATGGTAACTCAGACTTGCCCTAGACATATTTATTTTCCCCTTCTCTGGCCTAAAAATGGAAACAGATGGAATGGTACCTATGAACCCAAACTGAAAACCTTGTAAAGACTATGAAAGGTCAGATTTAACCTAACAGGGCTGGATCCTTTGAGGGATCTTGTGGACCCGAAGCACCTGTTTTTCCTTGGTGTTCACTAACTCATGGAGAGAAACAAGTCTTAGATAACCCTTGTTTTTAAACTTTTTTGTATTTGCTTAATTTGTCATCTCTACTCTGCAGATGTTACATATTATATTATATATTTATTTGGAAGGTATTTGCAAGTCCAAACCCAAAGACAAATAATAAATTACTTTTTAAATTTGAAGTATATGCCAATCATATTAGGGAAATATTATTTTATGGTACCATTACAAAAGAGCATAAAGCAGATGCAGCTCTGAAGGGAATATGATTAAGAAATATAAATTGACAGGAATGTTTAGTGTACTAGTCAATGTTCTCTTGTCACAAGTTTCTCTGAACAATATATATAGAGAAAAGATTAGTTTTAGCTCACATTTTGAGAGGACTTACTCCATCACGGCGATTTAATCTATCTGTGTCCCTAGACTATATGATGTTACCACCTAGCTAAACCTCTCTGGTAACATTTTCATAGACACGTAACACATAGACATATCCAGAGTGGGCCTTACTAATATCCTAGTTGAATCTCGGTCCAATCAAACTGACATTCATGAATTAACTACTATGTTTAATATGTATGTTTATTCACAGAGATTTTAAGACACATTTAATATTCTTGTACAAACTACTTCACTAATGATTTCTAGGATGAACACAGAACCTGGTAAGTGATGAGGTATTTTAAGACATTATGGAGTATCCAGAGTCATCAAAGCTCCTTGTGATCCTAATTGGCTCTGGTTCAGAAAAGCCCAGGTGTAGGTTTGGGTTTGTGGAACTCTTGTTTTTAATTTTTGTTAACTATCATGTCATGTCCTTTTCTGAAATCCTATGTCAGGTTATAAGTTGTATTATGAAAGCTAGAGTTAGCATTGTTCTAAATACGATGGATTTGTTATTACCAATAAATAAAGGCATGTTGGAATGTGTTTTATCCAAGGCAGTGGTTCTCAACCTGTGGGTCATAACCTCTTGCCAAATTTCTGTCTCCAAGAGTATTTACATTATGGTTCAAAACAATAGCAAAATTACAGTTATGAAGTAAAACCAAAAATAATTTTATAGTTGCAGGTCACCAAAACATGAGGAACTGTATCAAAGGGTTGAACCAATAGGAAGGTTGAGAACCACCAATCTAAAGAATTAAAGTCCTATTTCTCTGTCAATACTTAAAATTCTGCTGCAATTTAATTCCTCAACTATTTAAAAATATCTCTTCAGAGAACATTAATGTATATTTTGATATTCCCATGATAAATTATACAAATGCTAGTCAGAAATTTGACTGCATTTGAAATGTTTTTGTTGGACTACTGCATGTATTTTAATAATCATTTTACCATGAATTTAATAGTACAATGAGCACATTCTTTTTTGTTGTTGTTGTTTTTCAAGGGTTTCTCTTTATTGCTTTGAGGCTGTCCTGGAACTCATTCTGTAGACCAGGCTGGCCTTGAACTCACAGATTTCTGCCTGCCTCTGCCTCCAGAGTGCTGGGATTAAAGGTGTGTGCCACCAACACCCAGCTACAATGAGCACATTTTAATACCAAATGATTATTAAAATATAATTAATAATTAACATTTATTAAGTAATTATAAGGCAAGGCTATCCAAAATATCACATTTGGTAAAAACATACAGTTGTTACAAATGAATAATTATTTAGCTATCAAAACCAAAAATTAACATTTATAAATAATAATGTAAGATGAATTAAAATCTGTGAGGGTAAATTTTATAATCCTTAATGTATCCATTGTAAACTGTTGTTCAGTAAGAACATTTACAAGGAAACTCTACACTTAAACACATATCTCCTCCTGTCTTATTTTTATTTAATTTATCTATATATTTTACATTCCAACTGCAGTTTCCCCTCCTTCTCTTCTCATTCTTTTCCCCCCTCCTCTCTGTCCACCTCAATCTACTCCTCCTCTGTTTCTGTTCAGAAAGGGGCACAACTGTCACATAATGTAGAGGACTTAGGCTGGTCTCATCAAGGCTCCCTGGTTGTTGATTCAGACCCTGTGAGTTCTTATGGACCAGGTTTGTTGCCTCTGTGCGGTTTCCTGACCCTCTAGCTCCTATGATCTTTCCTCCCTTTCTTCAGCAGGATTCCCTGAGCTAAGCCTAATATTTGGCTCTGAATCTCTGCATCTGCTTCCATCAGTTACTGGATGAAGGTTCTCTGATGACAATTGGAACAGTCACCAATTCGATTATAGGAGATGGCCAGTTCAGGCTATACAGCCAATGCTGCCAGGGGTCTTAGCTGGGGTCACCCTTGTAGATTCATGGGAGTTTCCCTTGTATCCAGTTTCTACCTGTTCTCTAGGCATCTCTTTCAGTACTTTCCCAATCTACCCACCCCCTCAACTTGATCCCTCAGGTTCCTATCTCCATCCACCCCCAGTTCACCCAGATCTTTTTTTTTTCATTTTTTAATTTAATTTAGAAACAAGCTTGCTTCACACTTCAATCCCAGCTCCCTCTCCCTCCACTCCTCCCTGCCCCCCACTGATTGGGGAGGTCCTTCTGTGTATATGTTTGTCTTATTGGTTGATAAATAAAGTACTGTTGGCCAATAGGGAAGCAAGTTAGGTGGAACTAGGAGAGGAGGATTCATAAGGCCAGCATCCTCAGTAAGATAAGTCCTTATAAAAATATATAGATTAATAATTATGGTTGATATTTAAAACTGAGCTAGCAAATAGGAAATCCTAGTCATTGGCCAGCAGCATTGGAACTAATATAAGACTCTGTGTATTATTTAGGGGCCTTAAAGTGGCAGCAGAACCCAGGCAGATGGCGGAAAGAGTTATTGTTACAAATGGCACCCATGTGGTTTTATGAACTTCCACATAAAAACTTCACAAAAACTTAAAAAGGGATTTTAGAAACAAAAATTCACATGCCAATCCCAGCTCCCTCTCCCTCCCCTCCTCCATCTCCCCCACCAAACCCTCAACTCCCATCCCACCCTAACCCTAACCCTAACCCTAACCCTAACCCTAACCCTAACCTCCCTAGGGAGGGTGAAGCCCTCCATGGGGGATCTCTAAAGTCTGTCATATCATCCCAGGCAGGGCCTAGATTCTCCCCCATGTGTCCAGGCTGAGACAGCATATCTCCATGTGGAATGGGCTCCCAATGTCCCCTCACATGCTAGGGATAAATACTGATCTACTACTCAAGGCTGCATAAATTGCTGAGGCCTCCTCACTGACCCCCGAGTTCAGGGGTTCTGGGTCAGTCCCATGCTGGCCTCACAGCCACCCAGATCTTTTATATTTACCCTTCCCAGGGAGACTATGCACTGCCCCACCCCAACCTTTCTTTCTACCTAGCCTCTCTGAGTCTGTGGATTACAGCATGGTTATCCTTTACTTTATAGTTAATATCCAATTATGAGTGTATACATACCATGTTTTCTTTCTGGTTTTAGTTACCTTACTCAGGATAATTTTTTTCCTAGTTCCACCCATTTGCCTTCAAATTTCCAGATGTCATCATTTTTAACAGCTCTATAATACTGCATTGTGTAAATGTACCACATTTTCCACATCCATTCTTCAGTTGGGGGACATCTAAGTTTTTGTGGCTATTACAAATAAAGCTGTCATGAATATAGTTGAGCAAGTGTTCTTTTGGTATGATTGAGCATCCTTTGGTTATATGCCCATGAGTGGTATCACAGGATCTTGAGGTAGATTGATTCCCAATTTTCTAAGAAACTGCCATATTGATTTCCAAAGTGGCTTAAAGTGGGAAATTACCAATATGGAACCAAGTAGAAATATAAGGGTATTTAATAGGGAAAAGCCTTACTTACAGAGCAACCTAGCCAGTCGGCGCAGCAGCAGTCTGTACAGCAAGCAGAAAAGTGAAACTGAAATTGAAAACCAGCCACCTGAAACTCTCGCTCTACGTCACCCTGACCACGCCCTTGCAGGCGTGATCAGACACACCTGTAGCCAGCCTCTAACTAGGCATGGCTACAGGTTCCCCTACAATTCCCCTTTTAGTCTAAAAGAGGATTAAAACTTAACAGTGTAAATTATCCAAAATTAACAATCATAAATGTGAAATATAGAAAGATACAACAATCTGCTTATGTCACATCCTAACTATTTTCCCTGACCCTTAAAGCAATCTGAAAGAGGTGTCAAAGCCTGAACACCTCCTTCCAATCTCAACCATAAACAATAGGAAGCTATCGCTAACTAGGCATATACAGTATCCTAAGTGACAACAATGGGGAAAGGGGGCATAACATCCTCCAAGTTATTTCTGCTGAAATGGGACGACGATAGCCTTGTGGGGTCCTGTAGGAAGAAAATGTTAGTATAGTGAAAGTCTTGAATGAATTGTATCCAGTCCATGTTAGATGGGATTTGCTTGATTGAAGATCTCCCTTGAAATTCTCAACTTCATTGAAGTCAGTACCCGAAGCTCTGGCAGGAGTGTCAGTTGAAATGGTGCAAGCTGGATCCAGTGCAGTCGAGGAGGTGTGGCCGGAAGTGACATAGCAAGGAGACTCATATTTAGCAAGGAGACAAAGGAAGTGTTCCCTTTTTCCCCTTCCTCCTCCAGCGGCGCCATGTGAAACACTGGCAAGAGTGGGTGCCAGTGGAAGGCATCCTCTATAAGATAAATCTTATAAAATATATAGATTTATGATAATTAAGACTGAGCTAGCAGATGAGAATCCTAGTCATTGGCCAAGCAGCTTTGAACCTAATACAAGTCTCTCTGTGTATTAATTTGAGCCCTAACTTGGGCGACTGGCGTAAAGCACACATGTGGCGGTGGGGCATGGCAGCATTTTGCAGAAAGATTTATCGTAACAGTGGCTGCACAAGTTTGCTCTACAATCGGCAACTGAGGAGTGTTCCCCTTGTTCCATATTCTCTCTAGCATAAGCTGCATTTGTGGTGCTGATCTTAGTCATTCTGACAGGTGCAAGATGGAATCTGAGTCATTTTGATTTTCATTTCCCTGGTGGCTAAGGATGTTGAACTTTTAAGTATTTCTCTGGCATTTGACAGTCTTCTGTTGAGAATTCTCTGTTTAGGTCTGGACTTGAGTTTTGGGAAGTGTGATAGATATGGATCTCTTTGCATTCATATACCTACCAACGTCTAGGTTTGCCAGCACCATTTGTTGAAGATGTTTTCTTTTTTTTATTGTATGCTACTGGCTTCTTTGTCAAAAATCCTTATCTTTTGGTGTGCGAATTTATGTCTGCCTCTTCAATTCTATTACTTTGATCAGTGTGTCTATTTTCATGCCAATACCATGCTGTTTTTACTACTATAGCTCAGTAGTAAAGCTTGAGATCAGGGATGGTGATACCTCTGGCAGTTATCTTATTGTACAGGATTGTTTTAGCAATCATGAGTCTTTTGTTTTTCATGTGAATTTGAGTATTGTTCTTTCCAGATCTGAAAAGAATTGTGTTGCAATTCTGATGGGGATTGCATTGAATCTGTAGATTGCTTTTGATACGTTTTCCAATTTTTACTATGTGAAACCTACCAATCTATGGGAGGTCTTTCCATCTTCAGGTATCTTCTCCAATTTCTTTCTTCAAAGTTCTTGTTATGTAGGTCTTTTACTTGCTTGGTCAGTCTTACACCAAAAATTTTTTTTTTATATTATTTGTGGCTATTTGTGGCTAGATAATGATTAAAATTGACTTAGTTATAAAATATCTTGTTTTATCCATCTATGATGATTGAAAGTTTTGCTGGGTATAGTAGTCTGGGCTGGCATCCATGGTCTCTTAGAGACATCTCTCCAGGATTTTCTGGCTTTAAGATTCTCCATTGAGAAGTTGGGTGTAAAACTGATTGGTCTGCCTTTGGACATTACTTGACCCTGTTCCTTTGAAGCTTTTAATATTCTTTCTTTATTCTATATGCATAGTGTTTTATTTTTATATGGCAAGGGAATTTTTTTTTCTGGTCAAGTCTATTTTGTGTTCTGTAAGATTCTTGTACCTTTATAGGTATGTCCTTCTTTAGGTTGGAAAAATTTCTTCTATGATTTTGTTCAATATATTTTCTGGGACTTCAAGCTGGGATTCTCCTTCTTTTATTCCTATCATTCTTAGGTATGGTCTTTTTATAGAGTCCCAGATTTCCTGGATGTTTTGTGTTAGGAATCTTTTTAGACTTAAATTTTCTTTGACCAGTGAATCTATTTCCTCTATTGTATCTTTTACGTCTGAAATTCTCTCTTCAGTTCTTGTACTCTGCTGGTGATGCTTGTATCTGTAGTTCCTGTTCACTTACCCAGGTTTTCCCTTTCCAGAATTCCCTCAGTCTGTGTTTTCTTTATTGCTTCTATTTCCATTTTTAGATCTTGAACAGTTTTGTTTCTGTCAACTGTTGTCTGTTTTTATTTCATTTTCTTGACATTCTTAAAGAGATTTTTTGATTTCTTCCAATTTTTTGGTTGTCTTTTCTTCCACTTTTTTCATTTCTTTAAGGACCTCTATCATCTCCATAAATTTACTTTTAAGGCCATCTCCTTGTGTTTCAGTTGCATGGGAATATTCAGGTCTTGCTGTTGTATGATAGAAAGGTTCTAGTGGTGATATTTTGCCCTTTCTGTTATTGACTGTTCTTACCCTGGCATTTAGGCATCTGGATATGGGATGATTACAGGTCTATGTGTTTGTTGGATGGGTGTTTTGTTCCTTGGTTTCTGTTTTCTCTTTGATCTTTTGGCCTAAGTGGCCAATGGTTCTGGTGGCTGGTGAGTCTTCAGGTCTATTAGGATGCCTCTGCTGAGGTCTTTGGGGCCTTGGGTCCCTTCATCCATCTGGTCTAACCTCTGGTAAAGCTGAAATCTACTTGGATCTCTAGATCTGGACTGACCCCCAGTAAAGCCTGAGTGTTTTTCTGGAATACCCAGTACCAGCCTGGCTTCTGGTAGAGGTGCTGGGGTTGGTGTGGACTTTGTCTAGGCATAGAGAGACTGTCGGAGTTCTGGGGGAAGAGCTACTTGTGGACTGGTGAGGGTGGTTGTGGCTGATGTGGTCTGTGCTTCAGTGGCAGAAGTCCACTGGGGTTCAGGGCAGGGCCTAGTAGCAGTTAGGCCAGGAATTAGCTGGGATGGCATTGGTCTGGGGAACGTTCTCAGGGGACAGTATCTGGGGAGGGGTACAGTTCTGCTGGCACGTGGGTCATTCACCCATTCTGTCTTGTGCGGCCTAGTCCTGCTTGGCAGAAATCTTCTGGGGTTTTGGGGAGGACCCAGCAGTGGGACCATGGACTAGCAACATAGGCTTGGGTAAGGGGCAGAATCCAGAGACAAGTACTGTTCTGCTGGTGGGTGAATCACTCACCCTTTCTGGCTGGTGTGGTTTGTGCCTCATCGGCAGAAGTCTATTGGGACTTACTCTTAAAGTTTCTGCCAACATCTTATTTGGTTTAGAATTTGGTATCTATGAATAGATGTGTGATAAACACTATACATAAACACTGTATATACCACTAATTGGAAGCAGCATTGCAGGATATGTATTCATACTGTGAACCCAGGGATTGCATTATTTACTGGAAAAACCTGTTTGGAGTTGTGGTATGGCTCAGCCCCAGCACATACCTTTGATCCGAGGTATTTCTTCTTGAATATTGTAAGCAGGATTAAGTCAGGAGGTAGAACAATCAACCAGCTGACAGAAAGTGAACATAGAGGATTGAGGGAAAAAAACATAGAGAGTAAGGAGAATCAGGAGGATGGACAGAGAGACACACGGGAAGTAGAAGGGAGGGACATTTCTGTTTGAGGAGGGTTTTTTGTTTTTGTTTTTTGAGACAGGGTTTCTCTGTGGCTTTGGAGGCTGTCCTGGAACTAGCTCTTGTAGACCAGGCTGGTCTCAAACTCACAGATTGAGGAGGTTTTTTAATACGACGTAGAAGGAGTGAGGTATTTGGGGCCCAAAATGGTGGGCAGAACTCAGGCGGCTGGCGGAAAGAGCCCACGTGGCAGTAGGGCTTGGGTGGCTTTTGGTGGAAAGATTTATCATAACAGTGAGGCATCTGGGTCATTGACTGAGGAGGAAGGTCAGCAGGATGCTTTCTCTGTCCCTCTGATCTAGCAGTCTTTCATGGCTCCAGCATTTTTATTGGTAAAATCAAATGACTGAGATTCTGTTAGCAACAGACCAGTTTTGTTAAGGATTTGTATGTATTACTGTGAATCGTAAGGACTTTAAGAACAATGATTATAATTTGTTAATGCACCATTTCTGAGAAGATGTCATTGAACCTCCGTCAAAGTCATATTACTATATATGTACATACAAATTAGGTGATTTTATGTAGTTGTTACAGTAAATGGTTTCCATTTTCCTGGGAAATAGGCATTAGTTGTATTACCTGGAAGTATGTGAACTGAGAATGATAAAGATCTGGGTATGCGTGGAGGGTGGTCCCAATAACAAGCAGTAGTTCAAATTTGTGGAGAGATGAGCTGATGTAGCCCGTAAATCCCAAGCACCAAATCTTCAGAAGTGCTTCCAGGTCAAAAAGAACTGTGAAAGCCACCTAGAGAAACAAGGAGACACCGAGATAAGACTACATATTCCCAATTTCCTCACATGTGTATCAAAAGTGAGTTCCAGCCACTATATATAAACCAAAAAGCCCCATAAGGTCAAGAATGGACATTATATATTTAAAATTTTTATGTCTATGTATGTACATGCATATGTGCACATGAGTGTGGTTGCCTGCAGAGATCTCCCTACAGCTTGAGCTTTAGGCAGTGTGAACTGTGGATGTAGATGCTGGGAACTGAACTCTCGTCTTCTGAAAGCACAGCCAGAGTTCTTAGCCACTGAGTTATCTCTCCAGCCCTAAGAGTTTTAAGAAAGATGTGCTTGAAACAAATCAGTTAAAGCATAAGAGACCAAAGCTACATTAGGTAATTCCAGAATTATCATTGATTCATCTAGCCTTTGAGGTATATAACAAGCAGAAAAATTGAGAATTTCTATCAAGTAAAAAATTTGTATATGTAAATTTACATATTTTGAAAATCTTTCACAAAAATTCCAATAACTTGATACTAAAAAAAAATATAATACTACGAAGTGCACATACATGGTAGCAGGTAATGGAATTCTTTGCCTACTCTGAGGGTGATATTTCTCATTTTATATAAAAAGGTTATAATTAGAATTAAAACAGGAAATACTATATTAACTTGTAACTAAAGGGCATGAGATTGAATGTTGGGATTAGTCATAAATTTACAGTTCTCAGCACACAGTGTAAAATTATTAGAAATTAAATCCCTTTTCTCTAGGCCATTACTGAATATCAAAAAGGATTTTATTTCACTCATATTTGGAAAATGTAGAGAAATGGAATCATAGTAATAACATATTAAGAAATGGAATACTAGAAGCAATGCAGATCATTAATTTAGATATGCAGAAGGATTTAAGCTATTTTTGGAGGCTACAATGTCTGTAGTTCCACTTGTTTTCTATTTATGTCAGACATTACCATTCTGTGAACACTCAAAAAGGCAAAACATTTTAATTTCTAACTACATTCTAAATACTATCCTTATCCCCACAGATAAGCGTGGTTCTCATTTCTCACCAAAGATGCTTCTATCTATGGCAGAGACCATTACAGAGATCTACAACTAGTCAAAATGCAGAAAATGACTGAAAGAGATTTCCACCCCCAACTGCCACATCTAGAACATAACCCCACACTGAAGGTTCAGAGAACATTGCAGAAGAGATGATGGGAAGACTGTAAGAGTCGTCAGCAATTGCCTAACATTTGTTTAGCTTTCAAGACTTTAGGACAGTCAGGTCTCTCTCCCCCATTTAGCCTTAAACTTCAGCATTCTGGCATTACAAGTGTGTGATACCTTGCCTATTTTATTGAGGGTTTTGTACATATAACTAGATTTCCACACTTGGCATTATGGGAGAGAGCACAAAGACCAGATTTGTATGTTTTAAAGTTTGGAAAGTAAAAGATCATTTCCCAAACATTTATAATAAACCATTTGCCTCCCAGGAATGCCATAAGGCTGTTCTCGTCCAAAAATTTTGATCGACAATAGCACAATCAGATGTAATGCTTTTCAAGCATTAATGTGTGTATTGATCTCTTGGAGATAATTTCTTGGAGATAGCTTTAACTTCTTCTAGATTTTCCAGATCTGCAAGTTTTATTTCTGCATAGAACTGATTCCTTCAAGAATTCAGAGACATTTAAAAAAAATCTAATATCCTGTTAAATCAACACCTTGGATGTTTCTAGCCCCAGGAAACACTGTAAAGTTTGGGTTTTAGCTTCATGTCAAGATAAACAATTTTACATAAAGTTCAGAACACCTTTAAAGGGGCAAGGTGAAAATGGAGGGGTGTCCATTTCCATTTGAGGGTTGCACTTCTTGCTACCATTGAAGTGCAGACTTCTTTGTCTTGCTGATCAAATGCAGCCAAATTTACATTAGTACTCATTCTTTGGGAAAACTGTACCTTTCTCAAAGATATTAAACCATACTAAAAATGATTTAGCAAACTATTATATGATTCCATGACCTATATTCTTGTCAATTTTTCTTCTTGAATTCCCAATTCTGGATTCTTCTGAGATTAAATACTTACCTTTAAATTGATTTGTCAATTGCCACAGGCTAACACTGTAGTTTTTTTGACAAACACTACTAACTCCTAAATCTAAGAAATTATATATATATATATATATATATATATATATATATATATATACTAAACTAATTATTTATTTTAGTATGTGTTGTGAGGTTTGGCAGAGAATTTAAATCCAGAGGTATATCGTACAGTACTTAGAAGTATCCAGGAGGCAAGCTTGAGAGCTCCTTGCCATGAGCAATTCAAAAAATATTTTTCAATTTTCATAGTAGTTAGGGTATGGTAGAATTTTCTAGATCATTGCTATTGGTCACAAAAACTGAAGTCAAGAAGTAGTTTGAATGTGTGTGTGTGTGTGTGTGTGTGTGTGTGTGTAGTAGTAGTAGTAGTAGTAGTAGTAGTAGTAGACATCCAACCATCACTTTAGCTCTTAGCTCTCCAGTATGGTGGTCCTTTGCTGGACTGATGGTATGGTGGGTTATCATCAGAGTGCTCTGCTATCATAGTCAGTTGTGTGGATCTCTTGTGCCCTTCATCTCTCTCTCCATCTCATGCCCAATAACTTGGGACTCTTTCCATCAAGGCTATAAGATGCGGCTTATTGTTCTTGGGCTGGGACCACAAGCCCACATGAATCTTTTCACTGTGTAATTTATTCAGTCTGTTGTATTGTGAACATCATTGTAGGACTCTCTATCTGTGACTACTTTTAAATAGAAGTTTACCTTCTTAAAAACTAAGATGAACTTCGTAATAACTTTACAATAATATTTTTGCTGCATTTCTTGAAAATACTTTAAAAATGAATGGAAAACATTTCCTTCTTTCTTCTTCTTCTTTTTACCCCCCCTCCCCCCAGACAGGGTTTCTCTGTGGCTTTAGAGGCTGTCCTGGAACTAGCTGTAGACCAAGCTGGTCCTGAATTCACAGAGATCCGCCTGCCTCTGCCTCCCGAGGGCTGGGATTAAAGGCGTGTGCCACCAACGCCCGGCTTTCTTTCTTCTTTTTATGTTTAATGTTTTTTATTTTTTCCATTTTTTATTTACATTAGAAGCAAGATTGTTTTACATGTCAATCCCAGTTCCCTCTCCCTCTCCACCTCCCCTGCCCCCAACTAACTCCCTACTTATCCCATACCCTTTCTGCTCCCCAGGCAGGGTGAGGCCTTCCATGGGGGATATTGTTAAAAAACTTATTTATCTAGAAACATTTAAACTTATGGGTGTTTTGCCTGAATGTATGCTTTTGCACTATATGTATTCCATGTACCCATGGATGTCAGAAAGGGCATTGGATTTCCTGGAACTGGAGTAACAGAAAGTTGTGAGCTACTGTGTAGGTACTGGTAATGGAACCCAGGTCCCTTGAAGGGCAGCCAGTGCTCTTAACTATTGAGCAATCTCACTAGTCCCTACATTTCTTTCTTGCTTTTACTTTGAAGCAGCACTGCCCACAGTTTCTGTGCATGAACATAGGTGTAAAAATGCCATAGAAAGCATGTGGAGGTCACTCAGAGTACAATTTTGATGTCAGTCTTGGCTTCTCACCTTGTTTGAGACATGGTCCTTTGTTTTTGCCACTGTATATGACAGACTGGCTAGCCCATCCACTTTTGGAGATCCTCCAGCTGATGGTGACCATGTGAGAGGAGCTGTAGTTAGCAAAGGAGCTTATGGAATACAATCATCAAATAGCAAAGCTATAATGGGTACATTCTGGAGAGGCAAAATCCCAGGGCAGTGGGTAGGGATTGTCTTTACAATACCCATTGCTTCTGCTGTGCCTTATCCTGCTTTCTGCTACCATGTTCCTACTGTATTTGGCATGGTGGGATTACTACATAGAAGATACTCCCAGCAGATACAATATAGTGTGAATGTTTAATGGGGAAGATCCCATTCCTCACTGGGCATTTTACTTGAAGATCATAAAGAAGTTGGTTTTTATAAGAGCAATGACACTTAGTTGGATTGAGGATTTAATTGAACTTTCTGAGTCAACCTAAAAGATACAGGTGGTTAAGACTATTAGTGAAGATGATTAGGAAAATGATTTAGGTTGCTGTGCCAATTGCTCCAATGAGAGATAAAAAAGACAGTAATAAGAGTTAAATGTGAGATTTACTGAGGATGGAAATTAAAAACTAGGAAGTTTCATGCAATATAGATCCATGAATTCTGACTGAACAACAACAACAACAAAAAAACCACCACAGGCTGATGATTAAAGAAAGCAATTACACCCCTATACCCAAAGCTAGGTCTGAGTTACTTGGTTATGTAGCTTACATAATTAATCACAGGTTTCAGTATGCTCCTTGGAAAAAAACAAAGTTGTGGAAGGAAATTAAATGACCTTAGCCATTCTGACAGGAGTAAGATGGTATCTCAGAGTTGTTTTGATTTGCATTTCCCTGATGGCTAAGAATGTTGAACACTTTCTTATGTGTCTTTCAGCCATTTTAGATTCCTCTATTGAGAATTGTCTATTTAGTTCTGTACCCCATTTTTTAATTGGATTGTTTGGTGTTTTGGAGAATAGCTTCTTGAGTTCTTTATATATTTTGGAGATCAGCCCTCTGTCAGATGTGGGGTTGGTGAATATCTTTTCCCAGTCTGTGAGCTGTCGTTTTGTCTTGCTGACTATGTCCTTTGCCTTATAGAAGCTTCTCAGTTTCAGGAGGACCCATTTATTAATTGTTGATCTCAGTGTCTGTGCTACTGGTGTTATGTTCAGGAAGTGGCCTCCTGTACCGATTAATTCAAGGGTATTTCCCACTTTATCTTCTAGTAGGTTCAGTGTGGCTGGGTTTATGTTGAGGTCTTTGATCCATTTTGACTTAAGTTTTGTGCAGGGCGAAAGGCTTGGGTCTATCTGTAGTCTTCTACAGGTTTGCATCCA